TGAACCGAGGTCCCTTTGCTTTGCTAAGCTTGTTTTATTTTTATTTTATTTTTTTTTATTACATTTATTTATTGTGTGTGTGGCCAGCTCAGCCCACCAGGGGGCGGGGCTGACTGGCATGTGGTGCTGGGGGATCTAACCGTGGTCCCTGTGCTTTGCCAAGCTTGTTTCATGTAGGTGCTTTAGAGCACTGAACCATCTCTCCAGCCCCTAATTCTGAATTTAAAGACCAGAAAATCATTTCATTTTAGAACAATGTAGTTAACACCTTTGTTTCAGAATAGTGTACCTGGACTATTCACAATCATATTCCAAAATGCAGGCAAAGAAAACATTTCATTCATTCATTCATTCATTCATTCATTCATTCATTCATTCATTCATTCATTCTCAGGACCTCACACTTGCCAGGCAGGTGCTGTGCCACTGAGCTATAGCCTCAGACCAACAAAGCATTTTAGAGGAAAGACAAAACCTCAGAATAGCAAAATGACCAGTTCAAGGGCACTAAGCATCTAAGAGCAGAAAGCAGCTGTCTAGGTCCACGGACCTGCATGCTTCCCATCCGGGCCTGAAGTTCTTAGTTCAGGTAATAGTGATCTCCATAGGATCTGGAAACCACTAAGGAAGGACTTTTGGGTTGATTTGGGGCTGAGGGCTCACAACTTACAATTATAGTTGTAGGCGTGTGTGCGTCTCCTAAGTTCTAACTAAATACAAAAGGATTTTTGTCTTCTTTTTAAATCCATATGTATGCTGCAGAACAGAAGTGCTGTAAGAAATTCAATCAAAAAAGGATTTCACAGTCAAATGAGGTGGGAAATCCTATGATACCCCCACTGCCAGTGTTTCTGTGAGTATAGTGAAACACAGTGGCATACTAAGAACTGGACAATCCTGTCCAATTAAGAAACACCTTAATCCAGTGGTCACCAAATACATTTGGCTATCAAGCATTTCTCCCTCAGGAGCCCTTATAAATACTCTATGGAACTAACGATCTTTTCCTAATGGGGCATTTTAATGAAATTATACACTTTTTTACTGCATAAACACTAACAAAGAAGGACTCATCCAGGAAGCAGTTTGTGAAAGTAAAAATTTTTATTCTGATTTATTTCTCAATGTAGATCAATATAATGCCAGTTTTCAATGGCAAAAATTTGGTTCCACTGAAACTCCATAATGCTACAGAGAGCTACTACTTTTTCCAGGAAGTAGGTAAACAGCTGGAAATAGAAAGCACACTTTCTAGCAGCATGGCAACTTAAACCACAGACCTCAGAGATCTGCAACTTTTACACTAGAAATGGCACGAACATTTATTAGCTGGTGACAGAAGTGAGAAGTGGAGAAGACACGAACACCAAAAGGTGCACTAGATATACTATAAAGACAGACAAACCAAACAGACCTGTAAGGGTTTGAAAGTATAATTATAGAAAAGGGAACCAAATATTTTACTCAAATGGTTTTTAGAGCCTTTCTGTAGATACAAATATATATATATATATATTTATCCAAAAATATGTTTTATACAGATAAATGTTTCTCAATTAAAGATGGGACCAAAGCTATAGTTATAACATAAAGCAGTCTTTTGTAAGACTATCCACCTGAATTTTCAATTTCTTTAAAGTTAGTGCATTAGTTTTCCAAATATAATTACCTGACATCTTTTTATAAATCAAGTAGGCATTGTCTTTTAAAAGGGTGTACATGGTATTTCTAAGATGCTGTGCATATCAAACTTATGACAAGCCCCCAGTAAGAATCATTATTAATAAACATATCAAAAAGGGCTAAATTGGATTTTCCTCTTCATAGTAAATATTTTGTGATTACCAATTTACAAGTATTGAAAATGCATAAGACTTTACTTCACAAATACTTTTATGCTAATCAGGTATTTTGATTCTCTATATATGGCAACAGATCTTCACATGTTGTAACTATTAGTATGTATGGGGCATTACCACTGACAACCACTATGTATAAAATAAAGCACACAATTACTTTGGTGATTTTACAAATTATTTTTTCCAGGTGTAAAGGCTACAAAAATTCCTAAAATAGAGAACACTGAAAACATTAAAGTTTGACATCTGACTTTATAGTATTTTCATTTTACCCTGAAAGTTAACTAAAAAATTACGACCTTGCTGGAACAGGTCACCTTGCTAATATAAAAAATTGGTGAGTGTAAGAAATTGCTTCACTGGTATGTGGGATATCTGCAAATAGTTTTCTCCCCCCTCCGAATTATTAGAAAAATGTCCAAAGATTAAAAAACAAAATAAAATATGCGGTGGTCCCTAAACTATTTTGAAGGCAGGTAGCTTAGTCTAAGCTAAAGTATTTTTTTATTTATAGTAATCATCCTCCCCTCAAATGCCCTTTTAAAAAATGCATGAAACAGTACAACAGCAAGAATCAAAGAGCACAAACTGTATTTTCAAGAACAGAAAAATCTCTAGTGCTGAAAGATATAGTAAAAAGCAGATTTCTTTGGGGACATTGATCAATTAGTTTACAATTCATTATGAAGATTTTTCTTTTCTATTACGGGGGGAGTCTGCTCCATTTGATGTTACTGTTCCATTCACACCATTTTCTGAAAAGAGAAAATTATCAGTGTTACTCTCTTAAGTTAATGCAGATAATAATTTTTGTACATAGAAGAATCTTTAGCAAAGAAAACTTCCTTTTTTTCTTTTTGCCTCAAGCCAGGGTCTCACTATGTAGTACAGGTTGGCCTTTAATTCAAGATGTAGTTCATGCTGGCCTTGAACTCACAGTGATCCTCCTGCCTCAGCCTCCTGAGTGCTGAGATTACAGGTATATGCCACCAGGCCTGGTCTTCAGAAAAGAAAATTTAAAGTACAGTATACACTCAAGTAAAACTTATTAACTTTACTGAGAGGCTGGCCAGATGGCTCAGCAGACTAAATTGCCTACAACCAGGGTTTGATCTCCAGCATGCTGTGCCGGCCCCGCCCCTGGTGCACCCTGAGATAGTGACTGACATTGGGCGTGGTGGCGTGCACCTATAACTGCAGTGCTTGGGAGGCTGAGAACAGGAGGATCACTACGAGTCTAATCTGTGTTGCTGAGACCCTGCAGACCCTGTACTAAATACATTAAAAAAGACAAAAAACAAAACCAAAAACTACTCAAGATTTAATCAATCATAAAACCTAATGTTGAACCCGATGAACTGAAAACAAAAAAATTAAAAAACAGTAAATACTAATGAACAGTTTTTTCAGTATTACCACAAAAAGTGATAAAAACTATTTTTAAAAACTGTAAGAATTTTCTGGGCAGGCCTATAATTCCAGTACTTAAAGAGACTGAGGCAGGAGGATCACTTCAAGTTTGAGACTAGCCCAGGCTGCACAGTGAAACCCTGTTTATGAACAAACATAAAAAAAGCACAAAGCCCCAAGAATTTAAAAATTATAAGAGTAGTTTTAGTAGAAATAAAAATCTCATGTGACCTCAAAGTCTTTGGATAGAGACACTTCTTTAAAACAAATTAAACAAAATGCAATTTGAGATGGTGTTCAGAGCTGTCATGGCTTTTTTTGTAGTTCTAGGCAACTAAATCCAGGGGTTCTTCACCACTGAGCTACAACCCCAGTCCGTTCTGCTTTATAGGTTTGAGATGGGGTCACTAAGTTGCCCAGATGGAACTTGAACATGCGATTCTCCTGCCTCACATCCCTCTGTGCTCACAGCACAGCTGTGGCATCGTGCCTGGCTGTGGCCTCCTATGGAAAGCCAGTACACAGTAACTAATGGCTGACTTGCCTCTCTCCAAAAGTAGCCATAAAAGTTGACTATAAAACCAGGTATTTCATGCTTCTGGAACACCAGATGGCAGACAGGACTTGATGTGACAGGGTTTTAGAATGGAAGGAAATGAACCAAGGTGACTGCATTAACTGTTATTTCCCTGAGATAATCTACATACTCGATGACCTACATCTGTAGATTCAGAAACTGAGAGCACAACAGAGCAATAGCCTTGAGTTGAGCATGTATTTCTTCCTCAACACGTTTGCCAATATTAAAATGTGTATGTACCATGGAAGACAGAAATCATACAGAAAACAATTCCTAAGAAACTACAAAATTAAAAGGAACTGGAAATCTCATACTGACAAGGAGATAAAAATCTGATTTCAAGGCCTATCAAGGGTCTAAAGATCATCTCAAAGATAAATAACAAGACAGCAAATTAGCTGGGTATGGTAAGCACTTGGGAAGCTGGGGTTGAAGGAATTGCTGTGAGTTCGAGGCCATCCTGAACTACAAGGTGAGTTCAAGGCCAGCTTCAACTGCATAGTGTGATCCTGTCTCATTTCTTCTTTTCTTTTCTTTTCTTTTTTTTTTTTTTGCGGTGCCAGGGATTGAACTCAGGACCTTATTCTACTGAGCTATCTCCCCAGCCCTAACCCTGTCTAAAAAAGACAAAAACAAAACAAAACCGCAGCAGATTAAATCCAGAGAAAGGGAAAGAATAGAAATCAATGCTACAGAAAAGATACAACTAATAAAATCAACAACAAAAAAGACAAATATTAGGTTGTTTTGTGTTGCGTGCATTAAAACTCAGGCCTTCTTATACATTAAGGAGATACTATACTGAGCTACCTCTTGGCCCTCAAATGTTGGTTTTGGGGCTGGGGACATGGCTCAGTAGAATAAGCACTTCCCTGGCAAGTGCAAGGGCCTGAGTTCAATCCCCAGTTCCACAAAAAAAAAAAAAAAAAAAAAAAAAGTTGGTTTTGGCTGATGAAAAAACGAAAGGAAAGGTCTAAGTTACTAACATAGGAAATGAAAGCCAAAACCAGTACTGATCTACAGGCATTAATAATGGGGATACTGTGAACAATCTTAGATAATTCATGAATTTATACAAAATAGAAAAGTTTCTTAAACAAACACAATTTGTCAGGAGACAAGTAAAAAATCTGAGCTGTATTTTTTAAAAAAATACAAATGGATGGCTTCATTGCTGAATTTTTTTAGCAGTACTGGGGATTGAACTCATGGCCTTGAACTTGCCAGGCAAGCACTTATTCTACTGAGCTATCTCCCCAGCCCCATTGCTAAATTCTTTCAAACATTTGAAGAAGTAATAATGTTGACAGGGCACAAAGAACAAACCTGAGCAATGCTCTAAGGCAAGCGTCACGCTGACAGTAAAACCTAATAAAAGATAATACACACAAAAAGGCTAATTACAGGCCAGTGTTTTCCATTAATACAGATGCATAAATTCTAAGAAAATATTTAAAAACCAGGGACCTCACAGTGAGCTATATCCCTAGTCCTTTTTTTATTTTTCAGACAGGGTTTTGTTAAGTGGCCCAGGCTGGGCTCACATTTGTAGTCCTCCTGCCTCAGTCTCCAAGAGTGCTGGGATCGAAGGTTATGTATTTGAGGTCAACATGGGCAATTTATTATTATTATTATTTTTTTGTATTTTAGGGAAGGGTCTACAGGGTGTTCAGGGTCTTACTACTAGATCAGACTCATAGTAATCCACCTGTTTACAGTCTCCCAAGAGCTGGGATTACAGGTGTTCGCCACTACACCTGGTTTTAATTGCGGTCTCAGCATGCCCCTGCTTGCAGGCGTTTTAATCTGCTGAGCTATTTGGCTGGCCCTAGCACAGGCAATTTAAAGAGAGTATCTTTTTTTAAAAAATTTATTTATTTATTTGTGTGTGTGTGTGTGGCCAGCTCAGCCCACCAGGGGGCGGGGCTGGCTGGCATGTGGTGCTGGGGGATTGAACCACGGTCCCTGTGCTTTGCTAAGCTTGTTCTAAGTAGGTGCTTTAGACCACTGAGCCATCTCACCAGCCCTAAAGAGAGTATCTTAAACAAAAAAAAAGTACTGGGAAAGTAGAGTACTTGCCTAGTGCATGTGAGGCTCTATGCTCAAACCCCAAGATGGGTGTGTGTGTGTGTGTGAATCCAGTTATGATGAAAATTTATAGTAAATCAAGCACAAAAGAGAACTTCTATAACATAATAAAAGGTATTGGGCTGGGGAGATAGCTTGGCAGCCTAAGTACCTGCCTGACAAGTGCAAGGTCCAGAGTTTGATCCCCAGGTACTGCATGCAGCACCAGCCCTGGAACACCAGGCGCACTGGCACACACCTGTGAGCCCAGCACTTGGGAGGCTGAGACAGGAGGATTACTATGAGTCTGAACTGCATAGTGAGTCCCTGTGTCCAAAAATAAATAAAGAATAAAAGGCATTTACAAAACACTTTTTTTGGTTAGTACAGGGGACTGAACCCAGGACCTTTCACATGGTTAGGGGCAAGCACTCTACCACTGATTCACATCCCCTAGCCCAAAACATTAACAGTAAAATAGTGTAAGATCTCTCCTTTATGATAAAGAAAACCTATTTCTTCAGATAATATCATGGTGTGTTTGTAGCAAAGAAAAGGTACAGGACTTGGAGATAATACGATCATATATTTGAGCATAAACTTCAGAATAAATTAAGGAGGTTCTAAATATATCTTAAAATGAATGGCATTTCTATACCAGTATAACAATTAAAACTTCTTTAAAAAGCACATACAGGGCTGGCAGGATAGTTCAGTGGTCTAAAGCGCCTGCTTAAGCAAGCTTAGGCAAGCCTAGGGACCGCAGTTCTATCCCCGGCACCACATGCTGTGCCAGCCTTGCTCCCTGGGTGGGCTGAGTTGGACACAAAAATAAATAAAATAAAAAGCACATAGATTAGCTTGAGATATAAGACACCTTAGACTAAAATGAATGAAACATATACAAGATCCCTATGTCTGTAAAACACTGCCTTTGAGAATTTGTCCAAAAAAACAGAAAAGGAGGAAACATACTTCAGGTCAGTGGTGGCAAACCTACGGGATGTGTGTTGCAGTGGACTGTTCGTTATCACTGAAAGTTATAAAAGGTTCCCCATCACTGCTCTAGGTTGTTCTATGATGCCAGTAGTATCCTGCTATCCAACTAAGACTAAGACATTGCAACAGACAATATATGCAATATCCTTTAATACACACATAAAAATCCTCAACAAAATCTAGGCAAACAAAACCTAGAAACATAAAAATGGCTGTATACCATGATCAAGTGGGATTTATTTTAAGAATGCAATGTTAGTCTGTTATCTGTAAAACAATAAATGTGACCTGGAATACCAACAGAAAAAGAAACCCACAAGATCATTTCAACAGATACAAAAAAAAAAAAAAAAAAAAAAAACTAACAAAAATTGATTGTGATAAAATATAAATGGGTCTAGGAAAACAGCTCAGTGACAGAACACACTTGTGTAACATGCAGAGTTTGAGTCCCAAATTTGCAAAAAGCAAAGCAAACAAAAAAGCAACTCCTCCCCAAATTCATCCCAGCATACATACATAAATACAAACAAATGAAGAACAGAAAAGTGACTTCTTTTCCTGAGGGAACACACACCTAACATCATACTTAATGCTAAGATTAGATTCTGAACCCCTAAGATCAAAAACAAAACAAGGATGCTTTTATTCAACACCAGTTGAGAGGTTCTAGTCAGGGTAATCTGGCAAGAAAACGCAACAAAAGCATTCAAGGTTGCACATGAAAAAGTGGAAATTATTTTTTAACTTATGGATGATCCATGTATACTGAAAATCCACAGGAATCCACACATATTTTTTTGGTACCGGGGACTGAATTCAAGACCTTGTGCTTGCCAGGCAGGCACTTAAGCCTGCTGACCTATCTCTCCAATCTAGGAATCTACTCATATTAAAACACTATTAAAATAAATAAATCAACTAGGTTGGAAGACACCAGAATAACATGAAAAATAATTCAATTTCTATACACTAGCAGTGAGCAATCTGAAAATGAAGTGAAGATGATTTTATTTACAATAACATCAAAAAGAATAATGTATTTAGGAATAAATTTAATGAAAAAAGTACAGGATTTACTCAATGATAACATGAAAAGACACACTCACACTCTCCCCTGGGCAATCTAAAGATTAAAGGTAGTCACTGTGAAACCCCCAGCTGGCTTTCCTGCAGAAAGTGAAAAAAGCTCATCCTAAAGTTCATATGGAGGGGCCAGGAAGATGGCTCAGTAGAATAAGTGCTTGCCTGTCAAGCCCAAGAGCCTGAGTTTAATCCCCAGTTCCACCAAAAAAAAAAAAAAAAAAAAAAAAAAAAAATTGATAAAGTTCATATGGAAATACAAGACACTTAGAATAAACAAAGTGCAAAAAAGAATACAATTGGAGGATTCACATTTTCTGATTTCAAAACTTAAAAGCTACAGAAACCAAGACAGACACAAAAAAACCGAACTGAACTGAAAACTCTTACTACATGACTTTTGAGAATGGTATTAGGACAATTCAGAGTAAGGTTAGTCATTTGAACAAATGGCACAGGAACAACTGGGTATCTGAAAAACTATAAAATGGTACATCTTTTGTTTTGGAAGACAGTTTGGCAGTTCCCTCCAAATGTTAAACATACCTTCATCAAAAAAGAATATGAAAGTGGGTGCACAAAAAAAAACTTCTACATGAATGTATTACCCGTGACAGACAAAAGTGGAATTAACCAAATGTCCATCAACTGACGAACAGAGAAACAAAATGTGATAGATCCACAGAGTGGAATATTTAATCACAAAAAGGAATGAAATCTTAGGCCCAGGAAATGGCTCAGTAGAATAAGTGCTGCCCTGGAATGAAATCTTGATCCATGCTATAACATAGATGAACCTCAAAAATATGCTACGCTGGGGCCGGGGAGATGGCTCAGTGGAATAAGTGTTTCCCTGGCAAGCCCAAGGGCCTGAGTTCAATCCTTGGTTCTGCAAAAAAAAAGCTAAACCAATGCCAGTCACAAAAGACCACATATTGTATCACTCCATTTCTATCAAGAAAAAACAGGGGGCTGGGGGGATGATTCAGTGGAATAAGTGCTTCCCTGGCAAGAACAAGGGCCTGAATTCAATCCCCGGTTCCGCAAAAATGAAAAAAAAAAAAAGAAAAGAAAAAGCCAATCCAGAGAGACAAAAAATAAGAGAGGTGGTTGCCAGGACAAAGGGAACACAAATTGCTAATGGCCATGAGGCTTCTTTTTAGGGGTGATGAAAATATTCTGGTTCATGCAACTTGGTGAATGTATGTAAAAAAGAATGAAATGTATACTTTCAAGGTGAACTTTATTGGAGAACCCCAATAAAAATGTTTAATAAATACTCAATATCTCTATCTATAGATTCACTGTAATTCAACACAGTATCTGAGCAAAATTTTTTATATTGAAATGGACCACACATAACATGCTAAGAACTACCGGGACAAAAGTGGAAGACATAAACTATCAGATATCAAAAGTTACAAAAAGCAGAACAGAGATGATATATTTTTAAACTGGTACTCCTTTTGTTAGTTTCAAATATAACATCAAATATACAGTTAAAATATTATCTGCAAAGTCAATGTATTTTTATTCAAAAGTCAGGAGAAAAGTTAAGTACAAGTATAGAGAATCAGAAGTTATAAAAAACGTTCCACTTGGGACTAAAAGGCAGATAGAAGGGGTTTGTAGTTTTTAAAATGTGAATAAAGCCGGTAATGGTGGTGAAAATCTGTAATCCCAGAACTTGGTAGGATGAGGCAGGAGGATCACCATTAGCGCAAGGCTAGCCTGGGTTACACAGTGAGTTCACTGCCAACCTAAACTACACACAGCCAAGTCTTTGTCTCAACAAACAACCAAAACAGAACTACAAAATATAAGCAAGAACCTTGGGGGGAAAAAAAAAACCACCTTGGTACCATCACACTCTTGCTCGGCTGTTTACTAGAAGTGCCCAAAGACATGGGTCAACAGTGGTTCAAAGTAATAATCATGGAAAACTTGTGAAACAGAAACTTAGCTGACATGCTCTGAGGCATGTAACTAACTCTCCTCAGCCAAAGAATAGCCTGTATATATGAGGAAGAATAATTTTCTTCCTCATTTGTTAATATAATCAGTTTTCTTTATAACATTTGAATACAAGACTCATAACAAAATTTTTTTAAGTGTTTTTTACTTAATTAGCTTTTCACTGCCTAATGAATACAAACCTGTTCCTTTTCTAGAAGACCTGCCACCTTTAGTCACTGGTAGTTTCTTCCTTACAGGTGGTGCCTGAAAAGTAGAGTGTTCCCTCCACCTTCGAAGCTGGAAATTAATAAACTTCCACATCATGAAAGCTTGGGTGATACAAATGGATGCCAGAACAGCAATTCTGAAAAAATTAAGAAATAAAAAATTAGTCGATGAAAATATGGCCATCAAAGAAGTGTATAATACCCTGCTTTGATAATAATTTAATGCTATAATTTTCATTCTGCTGACAAGATTATGTTAAACACTCCACTAATAAAGTATCCTAGGTTTGTTTAGCACTTTAATTTAGAAATAAAATTGCAACAGATACATTGTAGAGAAAATGGGAATATATACTATACAGTGATTCAAAATGCATTAAACTGTACCTAACAGCCAACACGTTGAAATTTCCAGTACTGAAATCCAGCTTCTGATTCTCTGCTCTTGCAAGGCCAAAACCAACAGTGAGTACTGAAAGGATTAAAGTCAGAAGTCTTCCCAAAACAAAAAGAACTGCCCACAGAGAAAATCTGTAAGAAAAATGTCATTAGGTCAAATCACGAAACCACAAAGCAACACAATATTTTATTAGAAATTAGATTCCAATCAATTAAATGCATATTAAAACATCTTCTTCTGAAAAAAAAAAAAAAAGTAAATTTTTCTCTGAAGTTAGATATCTGGGAAATGCAACGTATCATCACACTTTTGAAGAGAAAAATAACATATATCAACCTATTTAAAATTCTAAGAATCTAACAGAAAAATCTGTTAAATTTATTTTTAAATTTTTTGTTTAATTCACCTCTTTTAAAAACTATTTTCATTAGCACACATTTACAGTACAGAATGATTATATTCATCATGGGAACTGGTACATGTTAATCTCTTTTTTGTATCAATAATACTGAAATTCCTCAGAAATATGCAGAATAGTTTTGAAAATTGCTGGAAAAAATAAACTGTATGTAGAATGCTATAAAGCTATGAAGAATACGACACCAAATTCCCATTGCAGAGTACTTTGAAAAAAAAAAAAAGATTTCACACTTTCTACAATTTATACCTCTCCAATTTCACTTGAGTCCAAGTTTCCTATGAAAATCTCTTAGTTTCTAAGGTTATCTTATCTACTTTTATTTCCTTTTGAAAATTTTCTTCTCTATCATTCTTTCTACCAACATAAAAACATGCAATATACAAAGTAGACATTATAATGGAAAAGTAAACCCCAAAAGCCTTGAAAATTTCAAATTCTAACATAATAATCTCTCTGAGAAAGACTTCATTGAGATTAAAATACCAAGTGTAACTATTACTAAACAGTTTCATTGTATTTAATGCTATTAGTTTAAAAAGTAGTAGTATGTTAAGGGCATGAACCTTGGTAACCTAGGTGCCGTTAAATAACCTGCCAAATACAAAACAAGAACAACTCATTAACTTACCCTTTCTGATACTTTTCATCACTAAAATAAAACAGGCGGGAAATGTGGAAAAGAAATTCAACAAAATAATGCAGCACCAGAAGAACAAGTCCTAGATGATTCAAGCTGTAGAAAAAAACACATTCCGAATAGAAACATTAATTATCAATTAAACTAGCATATCATCTGCCCTGTCTGTTTATACACCCAAGCAAAATCCCAACTCACTTCAAAAGATAAGCTCCAGCAATGTGAAAGAGGTAAAGACCAATGTAGACAAGCTGACGAGGAATATCTTCCTATAAACAGAAAAATACATATAGATTAAAACACGGTGAAACACTTTTTTTGGTGGCACTGGAAAATGAGCCCAGAACCTTGCCCAGATTCAATCAATACTCTACCAGTGAGTGAGCTACATCTCCAACTTTTTCTTTTTAAATAGTAGTAAGACTGAACCGAGGGCTTTGTGCATGTTAGGTGTTCTACCACTGAGCTACTTCATCAGTCCTTTATTTTATGTAACATTTCTGAGACAGGGTCTCACCACACAGCCCAGGTTCCTTGAATGTGCTTCAATCCTCCTGCCTCAGCCTCCTAAGAACATTTCTGTTAAGAGCAGAGTGGGGTAGTGAAAACTATACTATAAGAGAAGTAGGGCACCTGACGGCTGTTTTCTCCCTCAGCCTAATCTCTATGCCATATGGCCTTCCTGATGTTTTTATCTTGGCTTCAGCTGTTTCATGTGTAAAATGTGAATATTTGGGTTTATTTCAAATGGATGATCTTGAAATCCCCTTTAGATCTAAGAGATACAGTTCTTTTTCTAATAAAGATTTATTAAATGATATATTATTAACCATAGTTACATGCTAGGGATTTGATGTTCTAATAATAAAATGGCTGTATATTAGTAGTGTGCTAATTTTATCTAATAGCCACATTTTTAATGTTATACTTTAACCCCTTGACAATTACAATCATCAAAACGTAAGTTGAAATTTTTCTCTTTCATTTATGGTACCACCTAACTACATATTTTTTCTGATCAGTATCTCTATAAGCCCCAGTATCCAGATTTAATTTTTGCTAATTTTTTCTCCTTTAGTCCCTACCTGATTGTGTAATCCTGGTTATCTCAAAAACAGAGTTTTTAAAAAATGTAAGTAAAAACCTACTACTAGACTATGAAGTTAATTTAGGAATCCCATCAGCATCATTTAAAATATGAAAACAGAATTTTAAAAAGCCACTGTGCAATAGATATTATGAAATTCCAGATTTTATACACACATACTGAATTATTAAGTAAATCTTGCTTTGCACCCTGGGTTGCAGTTAAAATGTTTACAGAACACTGACAGTGATAAATAAACTCAATACATGCTTTTGGATTAAGTGCCTCTACCATTTCTGCTCTGCCTGGTTTGGACTATTTTCCTCACATGTATTATTTATTTATAACACTTAACACTAGCCTGGTTACTACTCATGTAGTACACCGACTCATTAAAATGAAGAACATGGTGGGCTGATGCTGGCAGACTGCACTCTGTTTTCCTGGAAGCTCATTACACGGTCTCCTGCTTCTGGGACTCTACTGCTGCTCTATTTCTCCCTGTATAATTCTCAGTGGAAACTACTTCCCCAAATCTTCTGAGATAGACATTTTACAAGTCCAGTTGTGAAACTGAAAACATTTCTTTAGTAAGCATTGTACAAAGAATAAAATGCTAGGTAGAACATTTAACAGTCTGAAGAGTACTACAAACAGGACTATATCTTAAGAATCTCAGGAAAATTCTTAAGTTTATAATGGTCCTGCCAACTGGAAAAGTATTTCTAAAGTGCTCTTAAGATCCTTTCCCTTTTTACCAAGATGGCGCCGAAAGCAAAGAAGGAAGCCCCTGCCCCTCCCAAAGCTGAAGCCAAAGCAAAAGCTTTGAAGGCCAAAAAGGCCGTGCTGAAAGGCATCCACAGCCACAAAAAGAAGAAGATACGAACGTCGCCCACCTTCCGCCGTCCCAAGACGCTCCGGCTCCGGAGGCAGCCCAAATACCCTTGGAAGAGCGCCCCCAGGAGAAACAAGCTTGACCACTATGCCATCATCAAGTTCCCCCTGACCACAGAGTCCGCCATGAAGAAGATTGAGGACAACAACACACTCGTGTTCATTGTGGATGTCAAAGCCAATAAGCACCAAATCAAACAGGCTGTAAAGAAGCTTTATGACATCGATGTTGCCAACCAAGGTCAATACCCTAATCAGGCCTGATGGAGAGAAGAAGGCATATGTTCGACTGGCTCCTGATTATGATGCATTGGATGTTGCCAACAAAATTGGGATCATCTAAACTGAGTCCAGCTGGCTAATTCTAAATATATACTTTTTTCTCAGTTAAAAAAAAAAAAAAAAAAATCCTTTCCGTGTAATTTTCATATTTCCAACAAAATATTTTTCCTCACAAAAGGAAAGAGAGGGAAGAAAGGGTACTGAGATAACATGTTAAAGTTACCCACGAGGGAGCCTTTTTCTTCCCTTTACAAGATTCTCAGTAAAGTTTACTTGTGGTGTTACTGATGCAACTAGATATGCTATAGATAAAAAGTTGCCCCTACATATATGAAACACCACTGTTCCCTGAAGTTTAGCTTATTACTGGTATGGTACAAAATGATTTATTAGACAGTATCAACAAATACTTTAACATTTTAATATATCTTATAAAAATGCCACAAAATAATTTTATACAAAATAAGGATAGATAAAAGTATGAGCTAGTATATATAAATATGGTAAAACAGGATGGAAGCATTTAAGTGTAAGCATTATGACTGATCTAATTCCTTCAGATGTTCATCAATGCTTCAAAGTTCTGATGAAATAACAGATCAAAGGAATCTTCAATATTTATGAGATTTTTTGTTTTTAATTGCTGACTAAACTCATTTTATTACCCAGAAATATGCATAAGCCAATGCAAAAAACTAGTATGTTATAAAACCCATTTTACAGTAACTTATTAGAAAGATTGTTAAAATTAATTTTAAAGAAGCCCAAGCAGGGTTACACATCAGTCATTTATCAAAGAAAATAAACTACCTTTTTCTTTTCTGAAAAATCTAAAAATTACAAACTTCATTTCAAAAACCCATTTACCCAGATCCAGCCCAAGCACAGGGCCGGTGAGTGTGTGGGGGAGCTTCCAGCTCTCATGAACCTGCAGGAACTCTCCGGACCAAAACCCAGGCCCACCATGCGAGTGAGACCCTCTGCTGCGCCCTCGAGACCCCCCAAACACAGCCCATGCCAAGGCCCTGCTAGTGTGTGGGAGAGCTTCTGCGGTCCCCTGCTTTCTCTGGGTCAGGGGCACAACAGAGGGCCACAACAGGTTTACTTCCAAGGGCTGCAGCAGGAAGGAGCTGAGCACAACAGCTAGACCCAAACCAGGCACAACCGGATAAACTCAAACTTAATATATCTGCACCCGAATTTCAGTAGGTGCTAAGGTTATAACTGCACCAAAGCTCTACACCAAATTCAGAGGTCAGTGCTAAACGAAATCACAAAGAGAAGGAGCAAAATGCAATCTCAGGTCTCGAGCCCACCCAGAACAAGTGCAGAGGACACTAGTTCAGCTGAAATGTATGAATAGCGTCAGAAGTAAAGAAACAATAGCAGAAAGGTATAGAGAAACTCAGAGAATTAATCTTTGAAATAAAAAAATCTCTGAATTAATAGCGTCTGAAGTAAAGAATCAAATGCAGAAACCTACAGAGGAAATCAGATCAGAAATACTCTCTGAAGTAAAAGAATAACTGCTTCTCAAGAAGGTACTGATAAAAAAAAAGTAGATTAGAAAAGCGACGGAATCCCTGAATGAGCAATACAGGAAAGAAATAGATCGCATGAAGCAGAGTCAAAGAGATATACAGGAATTTAAAATTTCAATCACAAGCTTGCAAAACCGTTTGAATGAAAGTGAAGATAAGAGTTTCAGATATTGAAGACACTGTCACAGCTAGTGAAAAAGTAAGAAGATAACTCAAAATCAACTAGGATGCAGGAAAAAAATAATACATCACCTGCACGATGATGCAAAGATGAACAATGTGAGACTAACAGGCATCAATGAGAAAGGAGTCAATACAAATGATATAAAAGAATATGAGCAGAAATAATAGCCAAAAACTTCCCAAAGATGAGGAAGCAATCTGACACCCAGTTAACTGAAGCATACAGAACTCCAAATAACTTCCACCCAATTAAAACACACCAAGACATATAATAGTAAAGATCCCAGAAAGCCAGCACAAGAACAATATACTAAAAGCCACCAGAGAAAAGGAACAGATCACATTTAAAGGAAAACCCATCAGAATAATGGCAAATTTCTCTCCACAAACCATGAAGGCAAGAAGAGCATGGAGCAGAGTCCTTCGAATCCTCTATGAAAACAAATTCCAGCCCAGACTACGATACCCTGCAAAACTCTCTTCCAAGTTTCATGGAGAAGTGAAATGCTTCCATAACAAAGAACAACTAAAGAATTTTATGATGACAAAGCCAACCCTACAGAGACTACTGAAAGATGTTCTAGAGACCAAAATGATCAGAATTCCATGAACGAGAACAAAAGGAACCCACTAAATAGGGCAAACAATTAAACACAGGACAAAAAGGAATAAACAACAGCAGTAAATAACATGTCAATCGTAAATCAATACATCTCAATTATAATCATCAATGTAAATGGACTCAATTCACCAATTAAAAGAAAAGGACTGGCACAGTGGATTAGGAAACACAATCCAACAATATGCTACATACAAGAAACACACTTAACTCATAAAGAAATTCATAAGCTGAAAGTCAAAGGATGGAAAACAATACTACATGCCCCAGCACCTCAGAAAAAAGCAGGGGTAGCAATCCTCTTCTCAGGCAGTCTCCACTTCAAACCAAGAATGATCAAAGGAAATAAAGAAGGCCACTATATACTGGTTAGAGGAAAAATTCAAGAGGAAGAGGTAACACTCATAAATGTATATGCACCAAACACGGGAGCACCCAACTATATAAGACGAATCTTAATGGATATGAAAAATCTAATATCCAATACCACAATCTTAACAGGAGACCTTAATACCCCCTTATCCCCAAAAAGATGAGTCAAACAGAAAAAAATTAGCAAAGAAGTAGCAGAACTGACCCAGAGCTTGGAACAAATGGACTTAGCGGACATATATAGAGTGTTCTACCCAACAACAGCTGAATACACATTTTTTTCAGCTGCAC